TATACTGAAAATATATTGTATTTAGCCGGGACGATATTTGGCAGAAATTCCTAGATTTGAGAGAGCGCCTTGCTGAATGGTCTAAATAAAAACATTTTATATACTTGAATTAAAGGAAACCGTTTTCCGCCAGCACACTTGAAAAGAAAAATATACAGCCAAATGTAAGAATACATCTAATCAACGAAAAAAAGCAAAACAAAACTAACAGAAAAGAAACGGTAAGAAAATAACACATAAAGAAATACATGTAAATTGGAAGAAATAAACTAAAGGATTGATTGTTGTTTTACGTCCCTTGCGAGAATTTTCACTAATATAAGACGTACAAAAATCCTAATCTGAAGAGAAACATATCTAATAATCATTTCATTGATATTAAATTATTATGATATGATTCATGGGCCACTTGAAAGCAGATAGACGTGAATTTCTTTTTTATAAAAATTATTTTAGCTCATATTTCTGCACTGAATACCGGATAGATATTCACGACGTCAAGCATGACGTCGCGATATTTTATGGCGTCGTTCTAAAAAATGTTACATTTTGCGATATAAAAGCAATTGTCCACATTTAAATTACGCGAAAACTAACCCGAAGACACATTAATTTTTTCACATTGATTTATTTCAAATCAATTCTTTGTTAAAATACCAAAGGGAAAACAATTTCGTCTGCACCATTTAAAAGTTATTGATATTTTTTGAAACAAAATCTTGCCTCAAAACGAGCCGAAAACGACGTTTTTCTTATATATAATTCAATAGAATAACGTCGAAAATGTACCGACAACAATGGCATGTTTGGGATTTAATTACACAAAAACGATGCAGACGAATTTTATAAAAATTTCAGAGAATATAAAACCAAGGTAGAGGATTCATATCACTAATTTTCATGGTATGTTTTCGGACACTTTTAAATGGCCTGCAAACACGCGACCTACGTTAAGTAATTAGGTATTGGTAATATTATTCTAAATATAACTTTCATGGTTGCCATGGTAACACAGTGTTACCATGCAAAATCTGTTGCTATGATTCGGTTAATGCTACTATATTGAGGAAAAACAATAAAATTCATGACTGGCACATATACATCCTTAGGATCTTGCAACACCGACAACATAAGAAAAATTGGGATTAATTGTTACTTTGCAGTGTAACCATGGAAACAACGTACTAGTTGTTTAAAGTGATATTTCTTGCTGTTTTAGGAATATACTTACCTTTTAATCAAGAAACATATTATTTGACTCACCTTGAATAGTACTTATCTGGTAGAACTAAAGTTTAATATCATATATTAATAAAGTTTGTTGAAAAATACAACACTTTGCTATGGTTACCAAGAAGAGAAAAAATTCGATTTTGTTAATTTTATGTCAATATTAAACCCTATATGCCAGCTTTTTGCATCCAGTTAGAGATTGGGTGGTAGTCAAAATTGAAAGTCAGGTTAGTTGTTCATATATATCAATCATTAAAATTTTGGGAATCTACATACAAGGGTACGTATCCAAGGAAACAGAATATTTTTCAGATTTTTATGCATGCTTTTTCGCCTTATTTCCATAGCAACGCTCTATTTAAAGAATTGAATTTGAATTTTTTGAAATGTGAAAATTAGGGTCACACCAACGCCTTTAAAAATTGATCATCAATTATATAGAAATATGCTATTTAAAAAGATAGGATAAGATTAAAACACTAAGAGAGTAAATATAAAATCCCTTCGTGGTATTAAAACCATGGCAACCATTGCCAACCTATGGGAAATATCATATTTCGTCCTTGATATATGTTACAAGGATCTCTTGTCTATTATTTGCTTGCATTTCAACCTATAATTGTTTTTATTTTTAAGTGTATGACTTTTTAAAATTAAATGAACAAAATTATTACTTTTGAATACTTTGTTTCCATAGTAACGTATATAATAGTTGATTTACCAAACATGTTTATCATGCATTTAAGACACCAGGCCTTAACTTTCACAAACAGTCATTGCCACTTGGTTGCTTTGCTGCAAACATTAACTGTGGGACTCTTAACATGTCAAGAAATGCCATTTTTCAAACTTTAGGACACATTGCTATGGTAACCATGACACGTAGCAACCAATTTCTGCCTGATTTGAGTTTACAATATTAAAGACTTTTATCATAGAGAGTTTGGAGAAATTCTGAAAGTTCAAGTCATTACAGAGAATGGCTCTTAATAGAGCCCTGGCCAGGACCAGAATACTTGACCAAATGGTCCAGATGTTCAAAAATCTTTATTAAAACTTTTACTCTTTTACCTCTGACATGCCCAGGTGCAGAGAAGATTTTCAAAGAAATACATGTAATACATATTTACTACAGATTCACTATATTATCAATAGAGCCCCCCCCCCCCTCCCTCCTAGCACCAGAACCCCTGACCTTGGGGCCATGAATTTCACAATTTTGGTAGAGTCACCCTTGCTTATCATAACTACGTATTCAATTTGTTTCAGTAATACCCAGGAGTAGAGAAGAAGATTTTCAAAGAAATAATGCACTTTCACTATATGATCTATATTGCCCCGCTCTTAAGCGCCAGAGCTCCTGACCCTGTGGCCATGAATTTCACAATTTTGGTAGAGTCGACCTTGCTTATCATAACTATGTATTCAATTTGTTTCAATAATACCCAGGAGTAGAGAAGAAGATTTTTCAAAGAAATAATGCACTTTCACTATATGATCTATATAGCCCCGCCCTAGCACCAGAACCCTGGGGCCATGAATTTCAAAATTTTGGAAAAAGCATCCTTGTGCACCATTATCATGCACTTTAAGTTTGTTTAAATAATACCCAGGAGCAGAGAAGAAGATTTTCAAAGAATTAATGCATTTTCACTACTCACTATATAATCAATAGAGCCCCGCCCTAACACCAGAACCCTTGACCCAGGGGCCATGAAATTCACAATTTTGGAAAAGGCATCAATGCTTATCATAACCATGCACTTAGTTTGTTTAAATAATATCCAGGAGCAGAGAAGAAGATTTTCAAAGAATTAATGCATTTTCACTATATAATCAATAGAGCCCAACCCTAACACCAGAACCCCTGACCCAGGGGCCATGAAATTCACAATTTTGGAAAAGGCATCAATGCTTATCATAACCATGCACTTAGTTTGTTTAAATAATACCCAGGAGCAGAGAAGAAGATTTTCAAAGAATTAATGCACTTTCACTATTTATCAATAGAGCCCTGCCCTACTACCAGAACCCCTGACCCTGGGGCCATGAAATTCACAATTTTGGAAAAGGCATCAATGCTTATTATAACCATGCACTTAGTTTGTTTATATAATATCCAGGAGCAGAGAAGAAGATTTTCAAAGAATTAATGCATTTTCACTATATAATCAATAGAGCCCAACCCTAACACCAGAACCTCTGACCCTGGGGCCATGAATTTCACAATTTTGGAAAAATCATCCTTGTGCACCATTATCATGCACTTCGTTTGTTTAAATAATATCCAGGAGCAGAGAAGAAGATTTTCAAAGAATTAATGCATTTTCACTATATAATCAATAGAGCCCCACCCTAACACCAGAACCCCTGACCCAGGGGCCATGAATTTCACAATTTTGGAAAAGCATCATTGCTTGTCATAACCATGCACTTAGTTTGTTTAAATAATACCCAGGAGAAGAGAAGAAGATTTTCAAGAAAATAATGAGTGACTCAGGTGACCTAAAAATTTAGTCGCCAATGCAAATTTTTAGTCGCCAGGCAATTTTTCTGAGGCACTAACTCTAAAAGTAAATAGAGTTTAGGGACCCATGATGTGCCTAAGAAAACACGACATGTCCACTGCTAAAAACAATTTCCTCTAGTTTTAAATTTCTTTTTGCTTTTTCAGAAAAATTGTTAAAAATGTGAAAATTTCCGGAATTTGACGATCACCAAGTCAATTTAAAATGGTCGTCAATTTGGCGACTTACTGAAATATTTTAGGCGCCAATCAAAACTTTTAGGTGCCATGGCAACTAAATTAGTCGCCAATTAGAGCCCTGTATAATTAGATTATACCAAGATTCAGTATTCTGTATATTACTTTTAGTGTTCCTATTATCAAACATTTACTATTATCAATACATGTATTACTAAAACTACTAGAAATAACTAAGAAAACTATTAGAAACAAGCATTCTAAGAGTATTGCCTTAGCAATACTAGTCCCCTATCGGCAAGTGTAATCTGGTTCCGGTTAAAAATCGAAAATGCCATAATTCCACCAAAAATCGATGAAGTGGAACAAAATGCAAACTTTATCTTTAACTCATCAAGATAAAGTCACATATCAAAAATCAGCTCAATATCTGCAAGCGTTTTGAAAAAAATTGCAGAAAACCCTTAGAAATTGAAAAGGTCGTAATTCCGTCAAAAATCAATGAAGCGAAACAAAATGCAAACTTGATCTGTAACTCATCAAGATACACTCACATACCAAAAATCAGCTCAATATCTGCAAGTATTTAGAAAAAAGTGCGTAAAACCAAGTGGGACAGACAGACAGAGGGACAGACAGACAGACGGACAGACTCAGAGGAAACCTATAGTCCCCTCTGGTTTCACCAGTAGGGGACTAAACAAGATGCTGAACATTACATTTAACTAAAAAATTAAGTCTTCATACATTCAGCAAGTAGTGCACCAAATATTTTGAACACAAGGATACTGACATACTGTCAAACCTCATTATCTTGAACTAGATGGGACCCAGACAAAATTTACCCCCGAGATATCAGGGGTAAATTACTTAAAGACATGGTTGGGACTTCTTAATCAGTTCAACATATCCATGGTATTCAAGATATCAGTGTTTGATCAGAGATACCGAGGTTCCACTGTATTTAAGGAAGAAAAGGAAAATAGTTATAGTGAAAAATTATTAAAGCTTCATATCATTAACTAATTTTTAAACTGAAACATGGTAGAGTGGAAAATAAAACCTTTGGTGGCCAGAGAAGCAAACACAAGTCCAGTGGTCAACTGTAGAGAGTTTAGATAGCGGTTCCACTTGTGTAGTTCTTCATCATAATCCACTACTGGTGTAGTAATCACCAAGAGGAAGACCATAGGGCACTAAAAAATCATTATATCTACAGTGTATTTATAGCATAATAATTGTCACAATTGATAAAAATAAAATTTAAAGAGGAACTGTTTTAATTATACTACTGGTATGGTCATCTTTACCAGAATAATATAGGAACTGATCAAAACCACTGAATGATGTTGTAAAGCCTAGATAAATTTCATTACTTGTTTCACAGGCCTGCCCACATTTGATTTGACAATGCTGAGGTTTGAACAACTCATCAATATTATTTTTAAGCACTTTTTCCAGCATAAGTATAAAGTAGATGAGAGTTTATATTTATTAGAAAATATTTCATACAGACAGCTTTAGACAACTGGTTCTAACAAGAAGTCTGTGAGCCAATGCTCACTAATAATACCCTTGCTCTGATGTGAATACACAAGTTCAGTTATGGACAAACTCAGTGATAATCAGGAAATTGACATCAGATTTGTAAAAAATGAATCTCAACATATGGCATGCCTAAACAAACATTGTGTTAAAATTTCAAGCACCTGCGATGAGTTGTTACTGAGAAAACCACTACCAAAATTTGTTATGTATGGTACAGACAGACGCACGGATAAACAGGAAGTTGACATCAGATGTGTACAAAAATGATGAATCCCAATATATGGCATGCCTAAACAAAGAGTGTGTTAAAATTTCGAGCACCTGCGATGAGTAGTTGCTGAGAAAACTACGACCAAAATTTGTTATGTATGGTACGGACAGACGCACAGATAAACAGGAAGTTGACGTCAGATTTGTACAAAAATGAATCCCACCATATGGCATGCCTAAACAAAGATTGTGCTAAAATTTCAAGCATCTGCAATGAGTAGTTGCTGAGAAAACTGCGACCAAAAATTGTTACGGTCATAAGACACACAGACAAACAGCTAGATGGACAGACAGACAGACAGACACACAAGGGTAAAACAGTTTACCCCCCTCTCCTTCGGAGTGGGGGTATAAATAAATTAGAGTTTATTGATTGATGAATAAAATCAGTTTTCATTAGAAATAAAAGAGAAAATATTCAGTGGATATAAATATTGCACATTAACAGTAGATTATACGTGTACCTTGAAAACCTCATAGATCCGCTTGAAAATGCCCATTTCAGCCCAGTTTTCTGTATCTATTGGATTAATGGCTGACAGGAATAGTTGGAATGGACTTCTGTCTTCTTCTCTACTCTCTGAACTGTCCGTCAATATATTCACACTACTCTTGGTGTCTTCATGACGATTTGTCAATAAAGGCTCTCTCTCATTGTCTGTTTGAATAAAAATATACTGTATAACAGGTATTTTCTGAAGTTTTTGTGGAATTTTGTTGATGGGACAAATTTGCAGAAATTGCAGTCACAAAATTTTCTTCAGATATAATGTGAATGCACATCTTTTTTTTCACAAAAGTGGTAAGTGGAGCTGACGTCACAGAAGTTTTTAGCCTGATTTTACCTGTAATTTTATAGCTAATAACTGTATAACTATAAAACAAATTGCTTACTGGGGTATGAAATAATTGTTACATGAACACTAACTTAAAGTTAGTAGAGCAGCAGAGCTTATTTTTAGTTGTGGTTCACCCTGAACATGGTCAACAAATCAATCTTATATTAAAATACCTAAAAAGTTAGCGTATTCTACCAAATCCTTACTATCCAGTAGTTATATCTTATATTAATGATATTTTTTGTGGATTATTGCAATTACATAAATTAACAAGAGGCCCATGGGCCTCAATATGACTAATGGCTTTGTTGTTCTTGAGAATAAGATTTTTAAAGATATTTTGTATATATATTCTTCTTGTAAAACTTTGATCCTCCATTATGGCCCCACCCTAGTACTGGATGATGCCTTGAACAAACTTGAATCTACACTACCCGAGGATAATTCCATATCAATATTAATAATTGTGGCTTTGTTGTTCTTGAGATGAAGATTTTTCAAGATTTTTTTCTATATATTCCTATGTAAAACTTTGATCCCCCATTTGCGGCCCAAACCTATCCCCGGGGTTCATGATTTAAACAAACTTGAATCTACACTACCTGAGGATGCTTCCATGTGAATATGACTAATCATGGCTTTGTTGTTCTTGAGAATAAGATTTTTAAAGATATTTCCTATATATGTTCTTTTGTAAAACTTTGATCCCCCATTAAGGCCCCATCCTACTACTGGAGGAAGCCTTGAACAAACTTGAATCTACAATACCTGGGGATGCTTCCACATCAACATGACAAATCATGGCTTTCCTGTTCTTAAGAAAGATTTTTTAAAGATTTTTCCTATATATTCCTATGTAAAACTTTGATCCCCCATGCATTGTGGCCCAGCCCTACCCCAGGGGGT